TCGAGATGTAAAATAATAGAATTCAGAATTCAGAGCCATGCATTACTGCAAAGACAGTCACTAGCAGAATATTATCTGCTTACAAAACACCAAAACAGGGCTATTACTTCTATAATGGAATTTTAAAAAAAAATCTCATCTACCCAGTTGGATTCTAGAGGAAAAAGTATTTAAAGGGACATAGCTGAAATTGACAGCTCCAAAATTGCATGTATTTTCAAAGAAAAGTTATTAATTCTCTTATTGTGCTCCTGAATTCCAACTGTGTTTTCCCTCAAAGCAAGAACGCCACAGAACGTTTTAAATTAAAAACGGCACTCTGAGATACACTGCAAACCAGGGCTGCTGGCCTCGCTGCACCGTTACAGAAATGCATGGGGAAGTGTTCCCACAATTCCACCGGCTGCTTTGCTCATTTATTTGCAAGGCCTTCCTAATCAAACCCCAAACCCTCTTGTCTTTTTTTTTTTTTTTTTTTTTTGCTTGTTTGTTTTAAGGTAATCACCCTTCTTTTTTAAAAAAAAAAAAAAAAAATGGACCTAGACCCAGCTAGCATGGCTCAGTGGTTGAGCGTCAATCTATGAACCAGGTCACAGCTCCATTCCAGGTTAGGGCACATGCCTGGGTTGTGGGCTTGATCCCCAGTAGGGGTTGTGCAGAAGGCAGCCAATCAACGATTCTCTCTCATCATTGATGTTTTTCTCATTCCCTCTCACTTCCTCTCTGAAATCAATAAAAAAAAATATTTTTAAAAGTGGAGATAGAAACATTGAGAGAGAAACATCAACATCGATCAGCTACCTCCTGCATGCCCCCTACTGGGAACCCAGCCCACAACCCAGGCATGTGCCTTGATTGGGAATCAAACTGGTGACTTCTTGGTGCATGGGTTGATGCTCACCCACTGAGCCACACTGGCAGGGCCCTCTTGTCCTCTTCAAACACTGTGGCAGTTACTGTTTTTGGCTGTATATACACACACACACACACATACACAGCTTCAGTCTATTTTGCAAGACAGTCATCTAGTTGAGACTAAGGCAGATTCTAGTAGGTTTGAGATGTGGCGTTAAGTAATAATGCGTGCAATATTGGATGGGGGTTTGTGCTCTAAAAGAATTTATTTGCCCTTTGCATTTGGTCTGGAACTAAGCCTTTTTGAAGCAATCAAGCATAGTGTGTTGTCTTATAATTTTTGGTGACTAAAAGGGAATTCTGACAGATCGGTGGGAATGTAAGGAAGAGAGGCTTTCAGGAGAGGATGCTCACCATTCCTGAACGCGAAGTGAGATGTGTGTAAGCAGAAGCCCTCCTGGACACCTCTCAGAACAGGAAAGCCTCTGGCTCCACAAATGCAGATTTATGACTAATTAGATAAAGTCTCCGCTGAAGTTCAAGTTTACATTATGTCTTATTGGCAACTGAACCATAAAAATACTCAGAAATGTCAGCATTTTTGTGTCCACATCTGGAAGGCATACAAAATCCTGGTCAGGTCCTGTGTCTTGACTCTTAGTTGAGGGAATATTGTCATCTTATAGGCTTAGGCAAATTGATAACATAACGTATTCATGTCGATTGTCTGGCTCTGGTGTACCAGTCCTAGATATTTTAAGGTAACCAAACCCCATTTATAAACACTGTACATTTACTTACACATACAAGTATTTCTGGAAGAGGGAGTGGGGACTTTCTACCTTTTTGTTGCCTAAATACTTCTAAGTGGTTAAAAAAAAAAGTTCTATATTATATGGAGTCAGACTTAGCATCTAACTTAAAATATATAAAATAATTCAGACTTTCTCAACAGCTGTGGGTGGCCATAAAGGCAGGCTCTATTTATTATAGCACACAAATAGGAACCCTAGGATTTATAGGGCCTCCTATGACCTAAATTCACATTTGTAAAAATCGGTTTCCTAGCTATGCAGATGTTTTCAGATTTAACTGAAACAATACTGGCCATCAGATTTTAAAGAAATAACTTATTTTGATGTAATTAAAAAGTATGACATGCGAGGAGAATCCAAGATGGCTGCACAGGTAGACACCTAGCCGCAGTCGCACACAACAATTTCAATAAAATACAACTAAAATATAAAATGGACATTACCCAGAACTACAGGAAAGTTGACTGACTGGAAATTCTACAATGAGAAGCAAGGAGAAAACCAGAAGGAAGCACGGAGGAGCTGTAAAAGCCTAAGGTACGGAGACACACGGTGTGCGTGGAGAGGATGGAGCCAGAGAGAAGAGGCGGCTGATTGCCTGGCTGGCGTTCCCTAGCAGGAAGGAGATAAAAGCTCCGACTGTGCTGGGCCCCAGTTCCGAATGCCCTGAACCCCAGTTCTAGGCCAGACCCCGGGATCCAGGCTCATCCACAGGGATCTGGGCTGTAAGGCGGAACCCCGGGGAGCGGCGAAAGGAGGTCCCGGAGGCGCGCACATTGCACGCAGAGAAGTTGGCTGTGCCGCAGGACTGCCCTGACGGGAAGGAGACTGGGGCTCCAGACTGCTCTGAACGCCACCTCCAATCCCACTTCCAACTGAACTGAACCCCAGTTCCAGGCTCATTGGGGGAGAGCCTAGACTGTTTGGTAACCGGTGAAAATCGAGGGCACCTTTCTCTCAGAGGTGCTTGCAGCAAGTACTGAAGGACCCTGAGACTCAGGAGCCGCATAGGGCGGGGCTGACGGAAGCCAAGTTCCACCCTGAAACTCCGCCCCAACAGGGAAGCTGCAAAAATGCGACAATGAAATAGATCACAAACGAAAGAAATGGAGGACAAAAAGCGACTGGATGTAGAGTTCAAATCTACACTTATAAAGTTTTCCAAGAATTTCCTAGAAAAGGTCGATAAGACCTATGAGGATATGAAAAGGGATCAACTAGAATTAATTAGGAATCAACGAGAAATGATAAAGGATCAACAAGAAATAAAGAATACATTGTCTGAAATTAAAAATATTATTATACAGAGTCCTAAAAACAGAATAAAAGATCACAAGAATCAAGTCAAAGATTTGGAACATAAAGAGCCGGAAGACACTCCTCTGCAGAAGCAAGAAGACAAGAGAATCCAGAAAATTGAAGATAATGTAAGAAACCTCGGGGACAACTTCAGGCGAACCAACATCAGAATTATGGGGGTCCCAGAAGATGAGAGAGAGCAAGATATTGAAAACATACTGAAAGAAATAGTGACAGAAAACTTCCCCCACCTGGTGAAAGAATTAGACTTACAAGTCCAGGAAGCGCACAGAACTCCAAACAAAAGGAATCCAAAGAGGAACACACCAAGACAAATCATAATTAAAATTCCAAGAGCAAAAAAACAAAGAGAGAATATTAAAAGTAGCAAGAACAAAGCAGGTAGTTACCTATAAAGGAGCACCCATACGATTGTCGGCTGATTTCTCAACAGAAACCATGCAGGCCAGACGGGAATGGCAAGAAATATTCAAGGTGATGAATAGTAAGAACCTACAGCCAAAGATAATCTCCCCAGCAAAGCTATCACTCAAAATCGAAGGTCAGATAAAGAGCTTCACTAATAAAAAAAAGCTAAAGGAGTTCATCATCGCCAAACCAGAATTATATGAATTGCTGAAGGGGATTCTTTCGGAAGAAAAAGTAAATAAAGATAAAAATTATGAACAACAAATACGTAACTATCAACAAGTGAATCTAAAAACCAAGGAAATTAAAAAAAAAATCTGATGAACAATATTAACTGGTGAATATAATAGAATCAGAGGTATGGAAGAGGAGTGAACTGACGATTCTTGGGGAAAAGGGGGGTGGGGTGGGATGAGACTGAACATAAACTGTGCACCTACGGATGAGGACAATGGGGGGGTGAGGAAAGGGCAGAGGGTGGGATGGAAACCTGGTGGAGGAGAGCAATGGAGGGGGGGGGAACATTTGTAATAATATAAACAATAAAAAATTATTAAAAAAAAAAAGTATGACATGCTTATTATAGAAAATTGGGAAATACAGGGGGGACTTATATTATGCCTACCTGCCTGTCACCCATCATTCCTGAACCAGCACCCCCGTGCCCGTGCTGACCTGCCTCCCCTCCTACTTCAGGATCACGTGGTTTACGTGAGGGATGTCACCCACATTGAGTAACAGGAAGGATTTTCCATTTGGGGGTAGGAGTATGAACACAATCCCAGAATGGCCCATTGCAGTGACCTCCCTGCTTTGCTGAGTGGCCAGCAAGGAGCTCTTACTCCAGGGGGGCCAGGGAGCTCGCAGGACATAAGGGTTCAGCTTTTGGGGGCCTCCATTCTGCCTGAGAACAGAGCCCGCTGAACCCCTTAAAAACTGGCTTCAGAGAAAAGCCTACAATTAGAAGTGGGCTACCAGATCAGGAAATTTAAAACAACAGGGTTGAACCGGCTGCCATGGTTGAATGTCACCCTATGAACCAGGAGGCCATGGTTCAATTCCTGGTTAGGGCACATCCCCAGGCTGAATCGCCAGCTGGGGACGTAAAGGAGGTAGCTGATCAGTGATTCTTTCTCTCCTTCTCTCCCTTCCTCTCTAAAAATCAATGAAAATACGTTTTAAAAAACCCAAAACACCATTGTCTTCTCACTGTCAGATTATGTTATAACACAATCTCTAGAAATAAAAGCATGCTCATCCCAGTCTCCAAAACTTTTTTATTTTTAGAGTCTAACCTTGTTCTAGGAAGTACAAAGTGAAGGAACATCGTTGGTACGCATCAGACAAAAACTGCCCTTTACTCCTGACCTTAAACACCGAATGCAATCGTTAAAGAGAAGAACACATCCGCATTTACATAATACACTTAGAAACCCAGGGATCCCGGTGATTAGATTTTAGTCAGGTCTGGCGAGGAACAGAACTCGGCGGCTGAGCAGCACGTGTTCTCATAAAAGACACCTGCATGGGGTGCTCAGGGTGACTGATCCCGAGGATGTCAACACAACACGGTTCTCTGCAGAGACAAGGGCTTTTCAGTTTCTAAAGAGCGTTGGCTTCCGACACCTCGATCCCCGACTTCAGCGGCTGCACGCTGTGGACCTCGGTGCCACACTTGGGGCAGGTGAAGAACATGTCAAACAGGAAGCTGCTCTTCACGCAGTAGTAGCAGAAGATGTGCTCGCAGCCGATGGTGTGGGGCATGGTGGGCCACTCCCCGCACAGGGAGCACTGCCTGCCGCTGCTGGCCAGGGTGCTGTCGCTGTGCGGAGCCCCGGCGAGGGGGATGCACCAGGAGGATAACTTGGCCTTCAGCTTCTGGGTGTTGATGAGCGGCAAGAGGAAGATGAGAAGCTCGGCGAAGCCGTGCCACAGGAGCTCCCTGTTCATGTACTCGAAGCCCACCTCCCGCGCCTGCTGGGGCTTGCAGAACACGGAGCGGATGCCGAGCAGGCGTTCCGTCAGAGTTGCAAACTTGCCCTTCTGGAGGAAGATCAGGAAGTTAATCAGGCCCCCGAGCTGCACGAGGCCCACCACAAAGTTCACACACTGCTTGGCTCTCGCAAAGGAGGCCAAGTGATGGTTTCGGAAAAGATCGTAGCAGCGTTCCTCCAGCCACTTCCCGCCGATGGTGCAGGCGGCGTACCAGAGCTTCTGGTTCTTGCTCGGGGGCTGGTACCGCTGGCTCGTGGAGAAGTCGTTTTTGTACTGGATATTTAAGACCGACTGGCCCACGGTGGCGTTCTTGGAGTAAACGGTGAAGCGCCACAGGAAGAGCCACAGGAGGGCTTTCAGCTCGGGTTCAAAGCGGGCCAGCAGCCCCGGCTGGAACCCATGGAAGCACTGAGTGACCTGGGACCAGACCAGCTGCTCCAGGGCCTTGTTCAGTTCAAGTGCGTCCAACTGGCTGATCCTCAGCACCCTGTGTGTGCTCTGTGCTTTCTCTTCTCTGGAAGCCATGCCTCCTCCAAAGAGCTCTAGGAGAAAGTGTGATTAGGAGACATCATCAGACACAGACAACCTGTACCATCTCCGCAGCCAATGCCCGGGAAACGGGACACACAAGACAGGACACACCTCTGCATCGTGTCCAAACGGCACTCTGAGCAGTCACCTCTTACTGGGGACTCCTTCCTCCTCCTCCTCGCATGTCCTCCTCCCTCCTTTCTTTCCTGTGTTTTTTTGTTTTTGTTTTCTTTTTGTTTCTGGCCCTTCTCATCAAGGGAATAACAGGTTTTAGCAATAATAGCTAAGTAAGAGGCTGAATAATAGCATGTCTAGTGGAGAAATATATGCACTTAATAAATACAATGAATTATGTGGAACACTGTAATGAATGGTTAAATCATGGCCTCAGTTTAATGCCCAGCATTTCTACTGGTTTATTTTTATTTTTTAAAAATCTTTATTCTATGTCCCCCTTTCCCCCTCATTGACCCCATCTGACCCGTCCCACCCTTTACCACCCTCTTGTCTGCGTCCACAGGTTATGCACACATGCATACAAGTTCTTTGGCTCGTCTTCTCGTCCCCCTCCCCACCCCTTCCTTCTGAGGTTCAACAGTCTGTTCCATGCTTCTATGTCTCTGGATCTATTTTATTCAACAGTTCATTTTGTTCATTGGATTCCTCATATGAGTGAGATCATGCGATATTTGTCTTTCTCTGACTTATTTCACTTAGCACAATACTCTCCTGGTCCCTCCATGCTGCCTCAAAGGGTAAGAGATCCCTTCTTTTTTACTACTGCATAGTATTCATGGTGTAAATGTACCACAGCTTTTTAATCCACTCAGTTACTGATCAGCACTTGGGCTGTTTCCAGATCTTAACTATTGTAAATTGAGCTGCTATGAACATAGGGGTGCATACATTCTTTCTGATTGGTGTTTCTGGTTTCTTAGGATATATTCCTAGAAGTGGGATCATTGGGTCAAATGGCAGTTCCATATTTAATTTTTTGAGGAAACTCCATACTGTTTTCCATAATGGCTGCACCAGTCTGCATTCCCACCAGCAGTGCACTAGGGTTCCCATTTCTCCACATCCTCACCAGCACTTGTCATTTGTTGATTTGTAGTAAGTTTTCATTATTCTATCACATGACTGCAGAAAATAAATACTAGCACAAAGCAATATGAATGCAGAAATCTCATTATTAAGATGCATCATATACTTTGGGGGAAAAAAGAGAACTATTATGCAAAAAGGTATTCTAAGATCAGTTCACAAATTCTATTACTTTATGACTTTTACTAAAAGATGTTAAATATAATTTGTTAGAAGTCAAAAGGACTGCAAAATACATCCTAAAATAAAGGTGTATGTCTTAAAATTGGAATATCTTTACAATCAGAGCATTTTTCAGGAGGAAACTTCGAGGTACCCATGGATCCCAGATACTGAGGGGCAGGAAGCCCAATACAGGAAACAAACGTGACTACCAACAGGTTGGTTAGTGCTCTTTTCCTCTGCACCCAGATATAATATGACAGGAATGCTTCTCACATTCCGGGTGACCTCACCGGTTCCCCCTTCCTGGAGCTCCGGTAAGACTTCTGAGCTGATAGCAGTGGGGATTTTGGCTGCAAGTTCTGTGAAATCCTTGCCTCATGCTGGTCAGGAGCTACAGGAGAGAAAGGAGGAGGTTAGAACATAGTTTTCTCTGCTCCACATACAAATCTCATTAATTCCCAAGGCCTTTCTTTGTTCAAAACATTTTTCAAGTCCATCCCTTTCTCTATCCCTAAGAGGTGACTGCTCATCTCCCTTGGATTACATCCAATGCATGCATCTACCTTCTGACTCCTCTGGTGCATTCCCACACCACGATCCTTCAAACAAGCCTCCTTCAGCTTCTTGCCTTCCTAGTGCTTTGATGTCTAGTATAAATGCCCCCTCTCTGCTCAGGAGGGGACATTTTGTTACCTGTTCCCTTCACTGGGATCAGTACGTCCCATCCTTTAGCTCATCCTAAATTCTCAAGTACTGAGTGAGGCATCACCTCCTCCCGACTGGCCCAGTCAGGTGAGCTGCCCCTCTCGCTCTTCCTCCAGCTAGACCTTTCTGTACTGGACATACCATACACTACATGGAAGGTTGATTTCCTCCCCTAGAAGATAAGGCCCATTGCAAAGATCATCGAGTCTTATAACAGTTGAATCTTAGCAACTAGTTCAGTGCCTGGCACGCAGGATGCATCCTATAAAACTAGATAAATGCATCAATGGACAGAAAAATGTCTGGGATGATAAAGGGTAGAAAATACAAATCTCCACCCTTAAAACTGTTTCAAATGCCCATAGCCAGATTGCTGCTGATTATTTATTTCAACATGGGATGGTTATACACCTTCCACTTTGCAGTTAATGTGTGGGAGCTAGCGAAAGAATGGCAGAGACTCAACGCCTGTGAAGGGTGTAATGTAACGGGGTGATGGGGGAGGGGGAGTAAGAGTGTGCTATGTAGTCCTAACCGGTTTGGCTCAGAGGATAGAGTGTCGGCCTGTAGACTGAAAGGTCCCAGGTGTGATTCCGGCAAAGGCATGTAACTTGGTTGCAGGCACATCCCTAGTAGGAGGTGTGCAGGAGGCAGCTGATAAATGTTTGTCTCTCATGGATGTTTCTAACTCTCTACCCTCTCCCTTCCTCTCTGTAAAAAATGAATAAAAAATATATATATTAAAAAAAGGTGTGCTATGTAAAATGCCAAACAATTACAAGAAGACATGGGAAGTGATGTGCGATGAGGATTATGCTCATGAGCAGAAAAGGCTTCATGGAGGGGCACTACCCGTGCACCTGAACGGTTGGTGATGACAGGCGGAAAGAAAGGTAAGCACATAGTCCAGCCCGAGGGAAGAGCAGGTGACAAGGACCGAAGGTCCAAGGACAAAAAATAAGGTTGGGAAGAAAATCATGAGACTCATCCTTAGGCCCTCGTTTATCGAGATGGTAATGGGGAGCCATGGAATGGTTGTAAGAAAAGAATAAAATTTGCGTTTACACAGCGTGTTCTGGCTACACTGAGAATGGCTTTGGGGCCAAAAGACCAGTTGACTGTTAAAACGATCTGGTGAGAAACTAACGGTCTAAATTGGAAAGGTATCAGTGGGGACGGAGAGAGACAGGTGCCTCTGAAAGCTCGGAAGTGGTAGAATTCAAAGATTTCGTGAGAAATAAGCCAAGAACCACTGATTCCTTTAATAGTTTAATGCATAATCCTATCACTCCTTCCTTCCCACTCCCCAAATTATACTAATTTAAGAATATAAAAGGCTAATGCAGGGGAAAACATTTATGACCAAGCAAAGAGACTTATAAAAATAATTAAAAGTATACTTGGCACTAAGTAATATTAGTGTTTAGTGAAGGGTAGGGTATGTGAAAACCCTATCAAAATCAAGACCAGATAAAAAGGCAAAATCAAGACAAAAAAGTCAAGACCAGATAAAAAGTACAGCAACTACTAGGGTTAGGCGTGATTAACTTGTCACATAAATATGTTTAAGACAAAATAATCTAGCACTAAAAACTATCAGGAAGGTCTCCTGCTGGCATTTTATCACCAGACGTCACACTGATTTTCTTTCACAGAAAAAAGCCCTGAAATTCGTTTACTAAGAGCAGCGATACATAACCTTATCCTTTAAATAACTCAGGCTTTCCTTTTACGCTTTTTATTCTCTAAAATAAAACTCTGCCATCTATATCACATTCTAAAAACCGACACAAACAATCCTATCTCACTAAAGAGGGAAGAATGTTTCAGGATGTATTTCAGAGCTTTTATTGAGTCGAGTACAAATTATGAATGAATATATTTTATTTAAAACCATGTTATTGACAGAAATCTATCAATAATAATGTGGGTATTGTCAAGGGCCTGTCAATATTAATGTAATTATGATTAAGGGGATGACATGGATTTTTAGCTATAATACCTAGTAACATCTCCTACATTGCTGCTATCAATACGCACACACTATTATTGACCTGCTCCAAGACTCAGTGCTAGATGTATTACCATTAGGCATATTTGTCAATGCATGCTGCCTACAAAACTACACTGGAATTTACAGTCCTGTAATCTCTTGTCAGCAGAAACACGTGACTGCCAAGTAACCTCCCAGGTATCAAACCCATCCACGGCCCCCGCCCCTGGCCCCTCCCCCCCAGGCCAACCTTTTTGGGGTGCACAATAGTCACCTAATGTTCAGTATGCCACACTCTCCTAAAAATTCTAGCAATCAAAATGGATGAGTGCGAATATTCATTTTTTCCCCCGTTTAGTGTTTAAAAATATTTTAAGCTAACGTTTTGCATTATGAGTTTACATGAATAAAGCGCTTAAAATGGAGATTTTAAAGTTTTAAACTTCTTCAGTAGCATTTCCTTTGTGTGGTCAGATAGACTTACTGTACATTGTATTGAAATCAATACTAATAAATGGGATGCGCATCAAAGAGGGATCTAACAGGACACCGATTCCCAGAACACACTTCAAACACGAGAGGGAGAGAAAAAGCTAGGGCCGAGGCCATCAGAACACCGTGACCCCTGACACTGTGAACAGGCCTAGAGTCACCGGCAGAAAGTTCAAATCCCACTGTGGCCGCAGACTTGCTAAGTGACTTGTCACTCCTCTTTTGTAGCTCTTTCATCAAGTACAAGCCGCGTCTCCGTAGTTTATAGATATCCCTACCGTGCTGGTCTGGATGCAGACAAGACACGAAGGACTGAAAACTACTGTAATGAACACCAGTCTTCCAGGTCACTTTTAACTTAAAGGCAGTCCTCAACGAAATCCAAATAAAAAAACTTCTGGGGTGTAATGGGTACACAACAAAATGATTTTAGAATACATTTGAAGGAAAACTTCAAAATATTATAAATTTCTCAAACAAATGAACATTGATAAGTACTTTGTCCTAGCAGAGGGGGGAAAAAATATATATATAT